TGCTTCGTGGGTGAGGACACCTTAGAGTGTTACTGACAGGTACGCCTTTTTGGCGGCCCCCTTTCTGATAAAGTTACACAGAAACCTTTTGGTTTTTTTCTGACGCTTCTTCACGCGTTCAGATTTATCTGTGTAATCTTGGTTTGTCTGAACCGTTAGCACAGCTGTAGCTGTTTCTGCGTGTTCAGCCTGCGATGACTCGTCATCGTTTGTGTGTGTGATTACCCCCCTTTCATCCGATGAGGGGTTGTTTGAGGCAACAACAGCAGCGTCTTGGTGTGTTTCACCGACGTCTGTAGTGTTGTCGTTCGCGCCCAGAGATGTAATAGTGAGTACCTCACTGCATAGTGCTTTTGGTCGGCTTCCCTTGTCAGTGTGTTTCAAGTCTTCTAACATTTCACGCAATTTTTCTGTCTCTTCCGAGCTCAGAGGTGGAGGGCCTTTTTTCTGGGATTTTTGTGATTTTTTCGCCTCTGGACGTTTTGTCCGAGGTGGGGGGCGGCTAGGTACGTCTTTTTGGGGTTCCTCTCGGTTCCCATTTTTTTGCGTCCTCCGCTGGTCCCATTTACGATAATCACGTTCGTCCTCTGAAGGAGGAGCCTTTTTGTCCCAGCGTGCACCTTCATGATGCGGTTTGTTAGTCTGAAAATACTGCCTTTTTTCTCCTTTTTTAGGAGGAGGTGGCGATGAACGCCTTCCTTCTAATTCTAGGGAGTGGGGTTTAACCTTTACACCAGGAAACACTTCTATGGGCGTCTTGGCATGACAACGTGCCTCAAACACGTTCACAGCACACTGTTTAATCTCACTGATGGATTTTTCTCTGTAATTTGCCATCATTTGCACTGACGTTTGTATGTCAGGGTGGAGATTTTTGCTGAAAACAAATTTAAAACCTTCATCTTCCTCCATCCCGGTTTCATTTCTGTTACCAAAATAAGCTTGGAAGATTCTTTTGTAATAAACTTTTGGATGTTCAGCTTTACCCTGCGTGACCTTTTCTGCGGCTGGGTATCCAGCTGGTCCTGTGCAGGTATCATACTCTTTAATCAGAGCTTCACACAGAAGTTTGTAATCTCTTCTCGTTGCATCTGGTAGACGCTCGATGAAGGTATACACCTCTCTGTCCGAAGTGAGTCGTATCAGACTGAGTTTATCTTCTACCGTAGCGTTAGGATGAGATCTCAATCTGAACTCCAGATCTCTGAGGTACGCTTTTGTTCCAGCGGAGCCCAACGGTCCAGGGACAAAACGTTGTACATATTTTGAGATTTTTTGCAAGTCATCCATTGATGGAGAAGATATCAATGGTCTCACATGCGTGATCAGTTGTGGGGGTGTTGCTCTGCCCGTTTGTGTAGGTGTTAGGATGGGTCTAAAAGCACCGGGTGGGTAAAGAGGTTGTTGAGTTATTGGTGTATTACCCCGACTTTGTTCAGGGTCTGGTTTGGATTCCAGGTCACCTTGCCCAACTTCCTTACCTTTTTCTATTGCTGCTATTAGTTTCGCCTCACATTTTTTTAAATGTTCCTGGGATGTATAATAGTCATCTTTTAAACGCATATGTAGCTCTTGTACAATTTGTTTATCTATTTTGCATTGGTCCAGTTCCATTTTTGCGAGTTGCAATTGTTGTTGTAGCACATCGTTATCTGCACACGTGGCTTGGTACTGACGGTCTATTTCTTTAATCTTTTCATAAGATTTTGTTTCTAGTGACGCCTGCATTTCTGCGAGCTCCTCCTCATGTCTTTTAGACATCCAGACAAGGCGTTCCGACCGTTCATCCAATTCAGCTTTTAGAAGCAGAGAGATTTTTGCTAACCGTTCATGGCTAAGCTTTTTACTCTCTGTATTTAATGTTCCTGCGGCCAAACTTTTCAGCTCTTCTTGTCTTTGAGCTTCATTAAGTTGTTCTAATTGCTGTATTTCATTGCCAATGAGTGGAGTTGTTAAAATATGTAAGGCCCCCAAAATGATATCATCATTTGTTGGTTTTGAAAAGTTGTCTTCTTCTTCGTCGCTTGCCATTTTTCTTCTATTTAAAGATTAAACAGGAGAATTTTAATGTTTTAGGTTTTTCAAAATAAATAAAATCAGCAAAGTCTCTTTGTCTGATATATTTACTTTTATTTAGTGATTTATCAATTAAACGTGCACTATCCTTTTAGCAAATGAGTAAACTTTTTCCAACTTTGTGAAAATCTGTAACTGTTTCTATTTTTAAAAAGTTAATGTTTATTTTGTACCTTAGTTTTAAGGGATTACCAGTGAAATAAAACTTTTTTGGTAAATGCTCTTTGCATAAATACCTTATAACTTTTAAAATGCAAGATAACAGTAATTTTCAGCTTTAAGGAACGTTTATTAACTCAAAAATGCCTTTTAGAAAAATTAAAACGTTTAATTTCACTATTTAGACCTAATAAGCGAGTGAAACCTGTCTTCTCAAGTTTCGCCAGAAGATGTCAGTATTACCTCAACAATTTTAACTCCGACACTGTTTGTGTTGTCCAGTAGGGGTCGCTATGACTTCCTGTGGCGTTCGGTTGACATCCTGTTGTTAGCCGCTTAGCTTGAAGTTAGCTTCGGCTAAACTCGGTTAAAATCAACATTTCTGAACGGATTTTTTACACAAACGTGGCAAAATTTCAACAAGCACGACTTCTTAGCATGAACATGAGTTTTTGTGGAACAATATTGCAGCTTTATTTAGTGATTTTAAGCGTAGTGAAGGCCCCGGTGGTTATGCTGTTAGCTTAAAATTAGCATCGCTAGCGTTGTTTAAAAACATCATTTAATGACGAATTTTAAACTCTAACGTGGCAAAATTTCAGCGAATATGCTTCGAAGCATTTAACCAGCGTATCAAAATCACTTTAAAGGCGCTTTTCAGCTTTAAAAAGCAGATTTTATTTCCCTATGAAAACGAATTTCATTTCCGGGTCACGTGACTGAAATCACCAATGGCAAAGCAGCGCAGGGTTGAGAGGGGATGACGTAGCCACGCCAGTCAACCTTCTCAGCAAATCAGAGCGCTCCACACAGCAATATTCAACCAATCAGAAAACGTTTGCAGCCAGCATGCTAGGTTTAGCCTGAAAAATAGTTCGTCAGCTTTTCGTCTTTTAAACTGTCAAAATGCACTTTTTCTGTTAAAAATTGTAACGAATAACTCTTAACTGTGTTCTGAGACGGCGCTCAGCTTTTAAAACGTTTATCCATCTATTCAAAATACTCGTTCAAACTGAACAGAACCGAACCGGACTACAGTCCTGGTCTTTCAGCAGAACCTCGTCTTTTAAACAGAATCAACGTTTGCACAGCTCATAAGCTTAACAACACTTAACAGCGTACAAATTCAGCTTTAATAAAGACTCAATGACACAATTTCAGCTTCCTGTGAGCTTCGCTGAGCTCCACAGACCGACACGCTTAAAACATGCAGCGTAACACAGCGGGTAAACTGTTATTTTTTCAACATGCCAACATGAAAAAATCAATGTTTACACGAATTCACAGTCATTCATGAGACTTTACGGGCCACCAGTTGTAGTAGTAAACAGAATAAAGCGTTTTACGGCACACTGTTTATATTAATTTGGTGGAATAGTGTAAAGCAATAACAGTGATTTCACATAAAAGGGACATCGATCACTCGGCGGTGATCAAGGACTTTGCTTCAGATATTCCTAAGATATCTGTACTGATTTTATGAGAAAGAGGAGAGTTTTAAGATGAAATGGAGTTATCTTACAGAGAAATATGTGAGGGAATTAATCTGTTTGACCAGAAATTGCACGCTCCATCAGATCTCAGCTTGCCCACGGTACACTTGGTCGAAAATAGAACCATCTACCTTGATGATGAAATCAGCGTCGGCGTAGGTTCCTTTCTGACTCTTTTCAGCGTCTCCGTGAGAACTACCAAACCCTCAGAGAGTCGTACGTGGTTTTCAAACAGAAATTATAATCCCAAAACGTCTCTGGATCATCCTGAATGCGTTTGCACCCAAGAACTCTGAACTCCTTTCATTCTTCAGAACTTCTCAGACTCTTAATTGTCTTTCAACTCCAGCAACTCTCTAGTTCTTCATCTCCTCAGCCTCTGGAATTCTCCCGAATTCTCCCGAATTCTCCCGAATTCTTCCGAATTCTCCCGAATTCTTTTCCAGACTCTCGACTCTTTCAGAACCGGGAAGTTGCCACATTTTAAATGAGTTGACTTCCGGGTCAATTTAGAGCTTTCTGATTCGTGAATGGACCAGAAAGAGGTGTGGTTTTTGACGTAAGGTGTTATCAAAAGTCGAGGTCAGAGAATGAGTTTGTTTAACAACTGACAGAGAGATTATTGCAGAAAAGCAGACTTCGTGGAGTCAACTCTTCTGTATCTTCTGTAAAGATTAAACATGACATTTCTTTTTCAGTAAACATTTAGTTGACCGAAGCTTCAACTTTCACATACTTACGTTGCTTGGCTCATTTCAGACAGAAAATCAAGAAATGCATATTAACCTGATTTCTTCTTTGAATGAGGAATAAAAATCATTACTTACTGTTTATGTAAAATAAAAATGAGTAGTTCTCTTCAACCTGTAACATTGAGTGAACTAACACAATTTGATTATCAAACATTTGTAAAACAGTGATGATTATAAAGAATTGTCTTTTCTGCTTGATTAATTCAAGAAAGAAAGTCATCAGATGGCTCAGACTGTATTCAGATCAATGAAATAACAGTCCCTGTCCATCTGATAGATTTGAGGTCATCAGGGTCAGATCAGGGTCAGATCAGGTTCACTACATTTCTGTCTGCCTCGCTGAAATAAACGCTCAAGTCTCTGTGAGCACATGTTTTGTGCACTTTTTGTATCATTATAACCTTGTGCTGATTTTCCTCACCTGAGCCTTGCGGACTTCAAAACACTGACTACATTTTTAACCTTCCCTTTCTTATATATATATATTTTCTTTTCTATGTTTTGCATTTTTCATGTGCAGTGGTGTATGAGCATCGCTCCCGGTTGGAAAAGTCTCTTCAGAAGGAGAGGTTGGAGCACAAAAAGGCCAAAGAAGGTGAGGAAAAAAATCCTCTCTTTGTCGTCATTGTAATTATTATCACTGTTAGACCATACCTGTTGTAACTAAAATTTATGAACGTGTAAGAATAAAAAAAAAAGTCCTTAAATCATTTCAAGTTTGAATAATTTTTATTTTCTAGAATATTTGGTTTATAAAATGGAATCGCAACAATCGCTGAACAAGGAAAAGGTATGTTTTCTTACCTCTTTAAACCAAAGCATCTATTCTCTTTCACTGTTATCAGTCATACTGTATGTGTGGACCACAGAGGGAGTGGTCTTTAACCGTGGCATTTATGTTCAAACAGCAAGATGCAAACGGCAGATACAACTCTTTACAAGTGCAGCACCAGGTGTTAAAGGTAACCAGAGGTTCAACACGCCTACAGCGCACTCATATTGGTGATGTATGCTGATGTTCAGTCCTCCTTCATCTTTGTTTATGTCAGAATCAGCACGATGAGCTGAAGAGGCAGTACTACGACCTGCAGGAGCAGCACCAGGTGCAGGGCAAGGACCACGGCCGGCTGCTGGACGAACACAGGGAACGCTACAGTAAACTGCAGCAAGCCAAAGAGGTGGAAATCTCACAGCTCAACGGTACTGATGGCTACAAGTCTTAATTTTTTTAAAGACAGCTGAGTTCAATATGGACTCCCTGGTTTCTTTGTCCATCTCATTAGTTTTACTTAGTTCCAATTAAAATACTTACAATTTCTTGACAACATGGTGTGAAATTGTGTACATTTTATAGAATACACGGCAGATCATTCATCCATCCATCTTCTACTGCTTATCTGTAATCGGGTTATAGAGGAAACAGGTCTAGGAGAGAAACCCAGACATCCCTCTCCCCAGTGCCACTTTTCAGCTCATTCTGGGGGACCTCGAGACATTCCCAGGCCAGAGAAGACACACCAGTGACTTCTGGGTCTTCCCCAGGTGCCTCCTACCAGAGGGTCATACCTTGAAAACCTCTAAAGGGAGATCTCCCAACAGACATCGTAATCAGATGCGCAAACCACCTCAACTGACTCCTTTCGATGCGGAGGAGCAGCGGCTACACCAAACTCCCCCCGGATGATGGAGCTCCTCACCCTATCTACGGCTAAGTCCAGCCACCTTTTGATGGAAGCCCATTTCTGCCGCTTGTTTTCGGGATCTCGTTCTTTTGGTCCCGACCCAAACCTCCTGACTAGGTGAGGGTTGGACCGTAGACAAGCCAGTAAATCGAGAGCTTTGCCTTTCGACTCAGCTCTCTCTTCACCACGAAAGACCGAAGCAATGCCCTCATTACTGAGGATGAGGCCCCAATCTCTGTTGAGCCATCTCCTTCCCCATTCTACCATCACTTGTGAACAAGACGACCAGATACTTGAACTTCTCCACCTGACAGCATTCATGTTGGACAATGTTTACTTCTAATAAAGTGACCAGTCATCAAAAGTTTCACGCAGAAACTTTGATGCGTTCAGAGTTTTTCTAATCATTGCACCTGACAGAGCACTCTTGTGAACCTCTTCACTATTTTATGGATCCTTTCAGTGAGTTCACACTTTTTGCAGGCTATTTTTGGAGAAAAAGAAAATCTTAAACAAAAATTATAATTGAGATTATTGTGGTTATACTGTTAATTGCACAATTTACCAATTGATAAATAACAAACTTTGGGGGAAATTAACACACAGAAAACTGAATGTGACACTTGACGAGTAAAAACTATTTACAAAAACGTGAATTAATGACACTTTCATTCTTTGAAGGAATTCATCTCACCCACTGACTTGCATACCAACAACTGAGGCAAAGCTGTTGCACGATCTGTTAGCACTCAAGAGTGTTGGTGACGTCTCTCATTTACTGCATTAGCTCAGTTACAGAACTTGTCAGATTGACTGAGTTAGAGCAGCTTTTGTACTTACTAAGTTTTCTTTGCTGTGGTGGCCGCCTTCTACTGAGTTGACTCCAAAAATGAACAAGTCATAGCTGTACGTCCAATGAATACACTCTGAGTATTGCACGCTTTTTATGGTGTAGGTGATCATTTTTAAAATGATTAAATCCTTTGTGATTTCAAGGAATGTAAAATATTTTAAGCTTCAACAGTATATGGTGCAGGATGAACAACCTTCACAGCAATGTGAAGAAGATGAAGGAGATGGTTGTGGACTTCATACCGAACAAACACGCCTACCCCCCCGAACATAGGATCTGCGGTGGAAGCGGTCTCCAGCTACAGCTACAAGTACTTGGGTGTACACCTGAATGACAACCTCAGCTGGAGCAACAACACCACCAGCCTGATCAAGAAAGCTCATCAGAGACTCTACTTCCTCAGGCGGCTGAGACAAGCTGGTCTGGGAAGCTCAGTCCTCACCTCCTTCTACAGGTGTGCAGTGGAGAGCATCCTGTGCTCCAGCATCAACGTGTGGCATGGAGGCTGCACAGCTGCAGAAAGAAAAGCTTTGTAGAGAGTGGTGAAGGCTGCACAGAAGACTGTTGGAGTCAGCCTCCCCACCATCACAGACATTTACACCTCCAGATGCAGGAAGAGGGCTACCTGCATCATGAAGGACCCCACTCACCCAGTACACACACTTTTTATCCCGCTCCCCTCAGGAAGGAGGTTGAGGAGGATTAAGTGTAGAACCACTAGACTGAGGAACAGCTTCTACCCTGAAGCTGTTAGACTCATGAATCTCTAATCAGAATAATCACTGTGAAAAATCACATCATGCTGCTGCTGATCTCTTGCTGCTGATCTGTTTCATGTTGCTGCTGATCTGTTTCATGTTGCTGTGTTCATTCGTACTCATCTGCTCACACAGACTCATGTTCGTGCTGCTGTTCAGCGTATTGTTTTTGTACTATTAGTGCTTATCGTATTTTTAGTCTTAACGTTTTTCTTAGTTCATATCTTAGATCTTATTACTGGTTTTTCTTCTACGTTTTATAATTTTGTTGGATGTAACTGGGACCCTGTGTACACAATTTTGTTCCACCACAAGTACCACATGTGGTGCGAATGACAAATAAAGAAACTTTGATTTTAATACGCTCTAATTACTAATAACAGGGTACTGTTCACCTCTGAAGTGGTATTCAGCAAGTTGTGTAGCTGTTTGCGTTCACCAAATAAACATAAGCATTTGTAAACTTAATTATTTCAGGATATAATATTACTTGTAGATACTTATAATGCAGTGATAAAGTAAAATTATATGCCAAAGAAATAGGTTTACAATTGTTCATTGTGCTTACAAGGTAGTAACGAAGTCTGAAATGTTTAACAACTCTAGATGAAATATATAATATAAATATATAAGTGAACAGATTTGACTCACTATTTGGAAAGAAACTGGTCAGTTTTGTCTGTCACCCTTAATGCATAATAAGCAGTTATTAATGATTTGTAAAGTGTTTATAGAGGAATTAATAACATATCGATAAACTATTAGCATTCTATAAGGGAGCCTTATTGTAAAGTGGTACTATTTTTTTGTGCCGAGATGTTTTGTCCGTCATCCAACGGACTACTTCATTCTGAGGAACCACCGAACAAAACTGATTCTCCACCAACAGCTTACTCCAAAGTGGGAAAAAACAGTTTGCTGGTGCAAAAGAAACTGTCCAGATGACCTGATTGAACATTGTTGGATTTTATACCTGGATTATTGAGCATGGACTTTGGTGTTACCAAATAACGTTTTGCTAAACCTAATTACCAGTAGCTCAGTAGAAGATGTCCCAGTGTGTCTTGTATATATGTATGCACGTTGGTGGAGGGGGTTGTCCATAAAATAATCTTTAAACATTGACAATGATGTCCTGTTTCCCCTTTTAACATGTCCTTGTATGTATGAAGATGAAAAAAAACAGTAGTTCTTATGGTTGTTTCACATCTTTTTAAATGAGTTCTTCTTTTACATGTGTTGTTTCTGACAGAGCATGTGCATAACCTAAGAGAGGAAAATACGAAGCTGAGGGAAGCTCACCATGACATTCACACAAAACTTCAGGATGCACAGGTGAGAAGGGGCCAAATATATACTGTATACGGTATATTGTCTGTGTCATGCAAATCTGCACAAGTTCTTTTTATATACATTTATTTCAAATGTTTTAAACTATTTCCCGTACAAAAGGGCTGAAAAGCTGTGGATTGTATTGGTTTCTGCTCTGAGTTCAGATCAAGCATCAAGACCTGAAGGTAGCACATGACCAGCTTGCTTTGACACTGGAGGACCACAAGAGTGCGCTAGCTGTGGCTCAGGTGAGGAGAGGACGCAGTCCTGTCTATTACTGCAGTGTTTTATTTAACCCAACAGCTGATCAACGCTGAAGTGTTCGCTCACGCGAGTTTTAAATATTAATTAGTGTAAATGAGTAAATGAAGTAATTATTGTGAAGTTTGTTTCAACTCTTTTGGCTTTTTAATAGTTTTTTATGATCTAGTTCAACAATCCAACCTTGCAGTTCTCATTAAAATGAAGACGGTGTGTATTTCTTAACTGTATGAACCTCAGTAGAAATTATGCAGGATGCCAGAGGTGCTGGTTTGTTTTTTATTAATTATTTTTCTTGGTGAGGAACACATTTAATACCTTTCAGAATGCTTGAATGATTGCTTAAATATGCTGCTTTCCTCTCAGTCCAGCAACTGATAGTCACCCGTGCTCCTCCTGTTTCCTGCTGCTCTGTCTGTCTGCTTGCATTTGCTAATTGGTTTTAAAGCTTGTCCTTCTTTCCATTAGTGCTGCTAGGTGAACACGGACACCCTCTTTACTTTGCTGCAGGAGTGAGGGGGTTAGTCTAACGAGTGCATAGAAAACCGTCTGAAGCCGACCTGCCAGGGAGTTATAAAAAGGCGAGCTGAGGCGAGACAAAGCAGCGGGAAGAACTTTTAGTTTTGTAGCCCTCGTCTTTATATCTGCACAAAAATAACACCTTATTATAACCCGTGAATCAGAACACAGTCATTTTAAAATAGTCGTTAGATTTGGATTTAAAAAAATAAATAAATCTGTGACAATGTTTCAGTGTTCCAACTTTTTGTTTTAGTGTGTTCTGTTATTTAAACACTCACACTACTGTTGTCCTGTTCTTGTTTTCTGTACTTTGTTTATTTCAAACTAAATACTTCTGTATACTTTGTGCTTTTTTAACCATTTGTATATCAAAATTTTAAGGCAGCTTAGAAAATGGGTGCTGTGACTTTTGGATTATGTATTTTTTATACTTCAATTAAATCTTCACTTTACAGATATTTTTATTTTAGAAATGCGGTTAGATTTCCTTAAATCTGCTACCTTTAGTTTTAGCCAGCCTTTTACTACTTGTAGCTTCTTTCTTTCTTTTTTTGCTATGTGTTAGCTTCCATTCTGCTACCTTTAGCTTTGAATAGGTCTTTATTACTTTTAGATGCTATTATTATTATTTATTATTTATTTATGTATTTATTATTTTTTGCTGCTTTTAGCTAGCCTTTTGCCACTTGGATAGTATATTGCTATTTTTAGCTTAGCCTTTTGCTACTTTTAGCTTTGAGTAAGCTTTTATTACTTTTAGCTAGCTTTTTGCTGCTTTTAGCTAGCCTTTTGGTACTTTTAGCCTTTAACTAGCCTTTTGCTACTTTAAGCTTATAGATTGCATTTAAGATTTAGCAAACAATTTGTTATTTTTTGGTTTTTGCTCATATTTTGCTACAGTTACCTTTTAGCTAGCATTTTGCTAATTTATTATTTAGCAAGGACTTTGCTAGCTTTAAACTAGCATTGAGCTTTTTAACCTTTTAGCTCATGATTTGCACTTTTACATTCTTGTTAAGTCTTCTGCTTTTTTAGCTTTAATCCATGGTTCTTCTCCTTTTACCTTCTGTTCTTTTTTTACCTTTTAACAGCTCAGTTTCACCTCCTTCAGCAAATTTCAGCACTTAGCATTGGCTCTGCATTTTTACAGAAAATGCGGTTTCCATAGATTTTATTCTTTATTTTTTCCTCAGGATAAAGGTGAGACTGTAACTGCACAGGAGTTTTTAGCTGTCTTTGCATAAAGACAGAGTAGCTGTGTCTGAATAAGAATGGAAGTGTTTGCGCTCGGTGCACACACAAGACTAAAAGCTGATTCTTTCTCACATCCTACAACACATCATTTATTTGAAGGTTTTGTATGATCTGTGCAGGAAGCAATTATTTGCTTGTATTCAAAGTGTCCCTAGTTTTCCTTGTTTTTATTTGTTTAAAGGTGTTATCTAGAAAAACATAGTTTGAATGTATGTCTTGAGCGATTGACTCACAAGGTGGAAGCTCTGAGGTTTAAATGTGTTTGATATGCCCACGAAGTGAAGGTTTCAGATTGGCTATCAGTGTATATGCAAATAAATACATAAATCACACCCGGTCTTTTTTTTTTTAAACATACATTCCTAGATTTAGGTGCTTTACTGGATTTTTCCCTCCAACAACTTATTAAACTTAATTACATTTATTATTGGAGAGAAGTAAAAGGAGCTTAAAACAACTACCTTGTTTTTTGGCCTATAAGTCGCGTTTTTTGCATAATTTACATGCCCTGTGACTTATAGGCCGAAGCGACGTATTTATGGATTTTTTTTCCATATTTATAAACCAACTTTTGGCTGAGATATGACCCATCCATCCATCCATTTTCTTTACCCGTTTATTCCATTTTGGGTCACGGGGGTCGCTGGTGCCCATGTCCAGCAATCACTGTGCGAGGGGCGGAGTACACCCTGGACGGGTCGCAAGTCCATCACAGGGCCACATAGAGACAAACGAGACAAACAACCATTCACTCTCTCACTCACACCTAGGGGCAATTTAGAGTTACCAATCAGCCTAACATGCATGTTTTTTTTGGTCTGTGGGAGGAAACCGGAGTACCCGGAGAAAACCCACGCATGCACGGAGAGAACATGCAAACTCCACCCAGAAAGGCCCCTGGACCGGGGTTTGAACCAGGGACCTGCTCGCTGAGAGGCAGCAGCTCTACCAGTTGCGCCACCGTGCTGCCCTGAGATATGACCATTTTCATTCATTCAGAGTGGCAAAAAAATGGAACAGTACCATTTTCAGCCACTTGATGACAGCAGAGTAGTAGTAGTAAGGCATGCCGTTGTATCATGTAAATGTGAATGTGGCTATAATGTCAAATTCAAAAAAGTTCAAAACAAAAAACAACTGGACTTTATTTATTATACTTTACTTTATACTTTATAGTTTTTTTCTTGAACTTTTTTGAATTTACCATGTCCTGGATGACTGAGAATCTTCACCAGCTATTAATGACTCAATCGGCTTGCCTTTGTCTCCCCACCTTCATTCTGCTCGCTGCTTGGAGCAAGTTAAACCAGCTGCACCGTCCTGGCGAAATGCGGCTAATTTGACCATTAAAGTGCATTTATTAAGTAAAAGTTAAACTGAGACACACCTTTGCTATGATGAGGAGCAAACAAATAATTGTTTTAGGTGCTTTTCTTGTTAAATTTCGAAGAAAGGAGCGGCTTTCCTCCTTCCTTTTTTGTCCTCCCTCTGCACGCTCCCGGAGCACCGAGGCAGCAAAACTATTTTTGAAATTCAGCTGATTTGACCCTCAAAGTGCATTTATTAAGCAAATGTTAGACTGAGACACAGCTTTAGTATAATTTGGAGCAAACAAATGTTTTTTTAGGTGGTTATCTTGTTAACTTTTAAAGAAATGCAGCGGCTCGTCCCTTTGTGTGTGCATGCTTCGCAGCACCTCAGCAGCAAAACAGTTTTTGAAATTCAGCTGATTTGACCGTTAAAGTGCATTTTTTAAGGAATAGTTCAACTGAGACACACCTTTGCTATAATTTTGAGCAAACAATTTTTTAAAATGTGTTTATCCTGTTAAATTTGCACAGCAACTCGTCGCATGCACGCGTTTACTTCCACGTATCGGCTTTTGAAATGCAGCTGATTTGACCGTCAAAGTGCATTTATTAAGCAAACGTTAGACTGAGACACAACTTTAGTATAATTTCGAGCAAACAATTAATTGATTTTAAGTGTTAATCTTGTTAAACTTGTGTTAAAGTTCGCCCGTGCACACTCCTGTAGCCGCCATTTGGCAGCCCATCGATTTTTGGCCACAACACCGGCCCACATTTCTGGGTTGTCAGCGGTGACGCATAATAGATGCAACGTATACGGTGAAACGACACATTTATGGATTTTTCCACTGTTTTGAACATATTTGGACTGATGCGACGCATAAGGCAGTGTGACATGTACGGCAGAATATACGGTAGTTTGTCGTTTTTGCTGAGATCAGTGATGGTGATTCTCTGCTGCTGTCACAAACAAACTCTTCACCAGTCTTTGAAAGGAAACTTAACATTTTGCAGTGTGGCTGTGAATAAAACACGTTGTTTTTATGCAACACAATCTCTCCTGATTAATCAGTTAGATTTTCTGTTTGACATTAAAGCAAAAGATTTGGGATGCGATCATAAACACAGCTTTGCTCCAACATTAGGCCCGAGTCTGCAGGAAGGTCCAGAGCTTTATGTTCACAGCTGCTTTAACAAGATTGGCCTCAGAATTTATGAAGATTATTATCAGGAGTTTGAGTTTTGTGGTTTAAAGCGGTAGATTATTTAAAAAGTTAGTGTAGTAAAAATGCAGTATGATTGTGTACTTTTTTCTATTTACTTTAATTTTTAATAACATTTTATCTTCTGTGCATAATTTACAGCATCTGTTTTTAACCTGAATTAATTTTTAGAAGCATCTGTTACATCTGATTTAAGCCATTGTAAGAGCTGTAAAGAAACTATACCTGAAGGACTTATTACTATTTCAGTTTTTAATGCTATGTAATTCTACATTAATACTGTGATTATATTGGTGTTGAGGTCTGTATTGCAAGTCAGTGGTTATTTTTTGTTTGTTCTTATATGAGAATGCACTCTCGTGGTAGTGTTTGTGCAACTGCCAACCATTATTGAAAGCTCTTAGTTTTTTACTATTAGCAAAACCGTGTACTTCCTTTCTGCATTTTAGTGTTTAAACCTTACTTTTAGACATTATCTGCACTTAAAATGTACATAAATCAGTGGTAATGATCTGAAATAATTCATAGGGGGTTTATTGTGACTTTTATCTGACCGATGACTTTATTTGAATAGGAATGATTATGTTTAATCACAGTTTTCCTACAACTTAGCATTTGTCATGTTGTGTGCTGCAGGCACAGGTGGATCAGTACAAGAAGATAAATAGGGTACAACCGGACCAAATTCAAGTTCATCAGCAGCTACATATAGCAACTACGCCATCTGTGTCCCATGTACACGAATCCCAGCAGAATACCATCGCTGAACATCAACAATCTCACTGGGACACCCAGTCAAGAGTAAGTGTGAAGTCTTGGTGCAGATAAGCCTTAGAGAGCAGTATGGTATGGATTAAAACCCTGCAGGGTATAAACATTTCTCTTGTGTTTTTTCTCTTCAGTTGGACCATCAGGAGGAGAAGGATGCCCACGTCCAGTCTGACATTGTGTCTCACCATATTGTGTCCCAGCCGTCCTTTTCTGAGAGAGAGGAGGACGGTGAGGGAGAGGCAGAACGGAAGAGGGAGCTGGCAGAGGAGGAGATGGCTCAAGCAGGGCAGCCTCAGAAGCTGGAGGAGGACCTGGACCAGCCTCAGGATGAGCAGCTGGAGGAGGAGGAGGAGCAGCGGCTCGATGAGAACGCTTTGGACCGACAGAGACGTCAACCACAGCTAGTAAGGACTGGTTTACACACTACTATCACAACTTAAGGAGTTTAGAGAAGCTTACGCTTAAAACTTGTGCACATACACATTTCTTGGTGTGATCTGTAAGGACACCCATGTGGAGCTGCATGGGGAGGCCCAGCTGCAGCACCAGGCTCCAGCCCGGGTCCACCAGCTGAAGTCAGCCTATGAGCAGCAGAAGGAGCAGCAGCGGCTGGCGGCTCAGAGGGCTGAGGAGCGCAGGCAGGTCCAGCTACGACAGGAAGCCCTGCAGGCCCAGAGAGACAAGATCCTGAAGGAGAGGGAGCAGAGACTGAAGGAGGAGCAGCAGAAAGAGGAGCAACAGCACAAGGAAGCTGACCGAAGAGAGCAGCTGTTGAGGGAGGAGCACCAAAGGTTAGACATGAACTCAAATAGCAAGTCACCTAAAAAAAATAACAAGTGCACAACTTTTAATTAGTTAAAAACCAAAAAAAACTATGGATTTCAACTTTGGATATACAATATCGTTTCAAATGCTCAAAAATTACATTGAGAAAATGAATCAACTGCTGGAAGATGGAAAATAAATAATTAGTGGATAAAATTCCTTGTTGCAAACCTGAATTATTAGGTTTTAATCCAAAGTATCATAATATGATTCAACAATGTTTGCTTGTGCAGGTTCAGAGAAACACTGCAGTAAAGTTTCTATAAATCTGCTAAAACAAATGTCATAAAAAACAAGGCTTCCACACCAGTATTTACTGAGCAGACAACTATCAAACTAAAAGTGTGGGGATGCGGTACACGTAGAAACAGTTTGATTTGTGTCTTTCACAATTTAATTAAAAGTGTTGTGGGGTGCCTTTAGGAGGAAGACAGAGTACGAGAACATGGACGATGATGCTCAAGGAGAGGAAGATCATCACAATACCAAAGAAGAGGGTGAGACAAATTTCTGATCAATTATTCAATAATGAATACTTGCAGATCACCAAACAATGCATTTAACCCTGTTTACATGACCATCTAGTGCTTCCCTTTGAATGTTAGGACACAGTAGTGAACACCATTATTGTTCCATGTTGGAATTGCTGTTTACCAGTCACAATGTTTTAGGCATCACACATAATAAAAGTAAAATAAAAACAATGAATGCAGTCTTAGAAACCAGCTTGAAGTAAATGGTAAATGGACTGCACTTATATTGCTCCTTTCTATCTTATCAAGATACTCAAAGGTCTTTACAACACAATCTGTGCCCTGATTCACCCATTCATACAGCACTCTACTAGATCTCTACAAAGACTATTCCGTGCTTTATCACATTCATACATCAGTGGGACACACATCAGAGGCAATGAGGGGTTCAGTGTCTTGCCCAGGGACACTTCAGCATGTGACTGCTGGTGGAATCGAACCCCAACTCTTGCATTGGAGGACGACTGCTCTAACCACTCAGCCACAGTCGCCGCGTCCTCGTAATGCTTCTGTAAACTGCTTAGCTCAATCACAGTTTGATTCTGTTGTTTTGCGGTTTCAAACTCAACTCAACTCAACTTTATTTTGGTAAATTACCATTACAGAAAAAGGAAA